CACTCTTGTAATCCCAGCACTCAGGAAGCTGAGGCAGGAGGATCTTTTAAGACCAACCTGGGCTACAAAGTGAGCCCATGGCCAGCCTGATCCGCAAGAGACCCTGTCTCAAAAAAGACAAATAAAGGGCAACTTGCTCAGGACCTCTTCTGTCTCTCTCAGACAGGAGCTTTCTATCTCTCAATAAATACATTCTGCTCCTAATCTCCGTTGTTCCTAAAATTCATTCTTCAGTTTTAGAGAACACGAACTCATGGACATAAAAGACAGCCCCTGGCAACCGGCTTGGGATTGTCTCTCTCTCTCTCTCAGACAAAAGCTTTCTTTCTCTCAATAAATATATTCTGCTCTTAAAAAAAAAAAAAAGACAAAATTTAAAAGGTTGAGGTTGTAAGTTCCTCAGCAGAACATCTGTCTACATGTGTGAGGCCCTGGACTCAGTCTCTACTACATTTAAAAAAAAAAAAAAAGGAAAGGAAAAAATATTGGTTTCAATAGGTTTAATTACCTGAATGCCATACAGTAAACCTAAAATCACATAAAAATTCTATTTGTACATATTATTTTGTTTTGTTTTTGTGCCAAGGATCAAACTCACATCCTCACATTTGCCAGGCAGGTGCTGATGCCACTGAGCTATATCCTCAGCCCTATTTGTATGCATTATATCTTGAAAAAAAGCTAGTAGTCTTGGAAAATATCCCAGTCACATTACATTAAAAGAACTGTTATCACTAACAGACTTGGCTTCCTGGAAATGTGTCTCTTTCTGCTCACATTAAATCCTAGATTAGCAGAAAAACGTTCAAAAGAATTCGCCTGCTTTTGAAAGATGACGTAAATCCTTTCTGAAGTGTTCTTTGCTTGCTTGCTCTCAAAAGGATCTGGCCTGGTGATATCAGCTTGTAATCCCAGCACTCTGGAAAGTTGAAGCAAGAGGTTAGAAAATTGCAGTCCAGGGTAGACAATCTGTAAGACCCGTCTTGCATATAAAAAACTGAGCTGGACACAGCGACATAGAAAGTCATCTCAGCACTCAGGAGACTGAGGCAGGAGGATGGTTGTAGGGTCAAGAAGAGCCTGGGCTACAGTAGTGAGCTCAAGGCCAGCCTGAACTACATAAGGAGGTCCTGTCTCAAAAAAAACCAAAATGAATGAATGAATGAAGCTGACCTACAAAGGCTCTGAGTTTAATCCCCAGTACTGCCTCCCCAAAAAGATTCTCAAGGATATGTTTCACAATACAGCGATGAAAGAGAAGCCAGTCTCACCACTTCACATCACAATGCAACAGAACTAGAACTATCGAAAGCAGGCAAAAATCCCCTAATTTTCCAGGGCATTTAAAAAGCAAAGGTGCATAATGCATGGGCGTGGACAGTTGACTCAGTATTGTGGGAGCTCAATACACATTGCCCCATCATACATGTATAGGAGATCAAAGTGTACCAGTCTCACTGTATTGTTAGGCTGGCTCTGAACTTCTAGACTCATGGAATCCTCCCTTAGGCTCCCAAAGTAGCTAGGACTACAGGTTTTCACTGTGCACCTTTCATTTCTTTGGCAAATTTTTAATTGGGTTATTCTGAGAAACTGCAGACATCACAGCAGCTCTAAAAAGCTATCCTTGTGTAAAAAAAAACTCACATCTAGAAAGGAAATCTGATTGCACACACACCTGTAATCCCAGCACTCTGAAAGGCTAAGATCACAATTTTCAGTCCACTCTGGGCAGTAACTTAGCAAGACCCTGTCAAAAACTAGGAAAGGCTGGGGATATAATTCAGTGTGAAGCCCATAGGTTCCATCCCCAGCACAAGGAAGAAAGAAAAACAGAGATAGATGGACAGACCTCTATCAGAAAAGTATCTTTTCTTACCTGACACTTTATTTGCATAAGACTTGTCCACCAAAAAATTCCTCCCCACCACATCCACCTTAACTTGTGTTCTCACCACTCCCTAGAAGCCCCAAGTCTAATGCATTTCCTGTTACTCAGGATATACACAACTCAAACAACCTAACCTTCTAGTCTCACATTCTGTAGGATTTCTGTGCATATGCAGATAATTAAACAAGGTTGCTCTCTCAATATTTTTATATTAACTCATAGCCTAACCAAAGAGCCTAAAAAAAGGAAGTCCTTTCCTCATTCCAATTCCAGCATATCATGCCTCACCAGGTGTGCACACAACCCTTCTTGATTTATCCCCAACTTCCCTTCTATTCTTTAACTGTGCTCTCTTCAAGGGTCTGCTTCTACCATCCAACACTAGCCATGCTAAATGAATGCTGTTATGTGAATCTGTCTTGCCCCTTTACCACCCAGTGTTTTTAGCACCAACTTTTTAAACTGCAAATGGCACTCCAACTGGCCTAAACATGCCTGTAAAACTAATCAAACAGAAAGGACCAGAAAATAAAGTATGTAACAAAGCTGTGCATGTGGAACCTGTTCATTATCCAGTAGTGATGAGCACTTAAGAGTTAAGCATCTCTGTGTAAAACCTCTTTAAAGCACATTGCATAAGAGAATTCATTTTATCCTTACACATATCCTGTGAAATAGTATCATCCTCATTTTCAGAAAAAGAAATTGAATCAGAGGTACACAACTTGCCTCAAATCATGGAGTCCAAGCACTCTGGCTGCAGAAGCCAGAACCCTTAACCACTACTTCTCCTGTAACAGGTTGCAGTGTAAAATTTGGGAGACAGATCTTTTGCAGATGGGAAGGGAACCAAGAGATGGGAGGAAGGAGGAAAAGGACAAAAGAACATAAAAAGAATTAATAAGATGAGTTATACACGTGTATTCACCCCTCCATGTTGAATGTAATCATTATGTACTGCAAACATGTACTACTTAAACACATTAAAAAAATTTTTAATGTAAACTTTTTCATTGGGGATCATGGTTAAAATTTGAAAGCTACTGCTTTAGCACTTGTCCCTTCTCCTTTTTCCCATGCCTCAAAAAATCTTAACTTATTTTATCCAGGTCAAAAGTTACTTCTTTAGTAAGGCGTTTCTGACTTTCCAAGGGAAGCTGTTATACCAGAACAACTTCATTAAAAACACTTAACTGGTGGTGGGAGTGTAGCTCAGCGGTTAATGGTAGAGACCATGCTTAGTCCACATGAGTTCAATTCCCAGCAAAAAAACAAAACACACTTATGTTTTGTGTGCAGTTACTTTCTGGACTGAAATCTGAGCCAGCAGGTACAGGCCTATTCTCACAGTGATGACAAGCGCTTTTTATGCTATACTCAGTCCAACAGTCTCCTACATTCCACCTTCAAATCTCTTCTTTTGAGGACAACTATACTATTAAGAAAACTTACCAGAAGGCAACAAAAGCTATATTCTTCACAAGTCAGAACAGCTGAAGGGACATCAATTAAACTATTTCTTGACTCTCTTTCAACTGAACACATGACAAAATAGTATTTTTTCTTTGAAAAAGAAAATACTAGCTAGGCATGGTGACACACACCTGTAATCCTAGCACTCTGAGAGACTTAGGCAGAAGTCTGAGCCCAGCCTGGACAAATCAGCAACTAATCAAGACTGTATCTCAAAATTAAAAGTTTAAAAAGGGGTGGGGATGTAGCTTACTGCAAAGGCCCTGGTTTCAATCCCTACTACTGTAAAAACAACAGCACAAAACACTATTACTCTCTTATTGCTCTTCTTACCAGGTTTGCTACACACATAAAAAGATGGTATGTGCAGCAAAAGTATAATCCAGTACAATGTGCAAAACAAGCCAGGAAATAACCTAAAAATACACCAGTGGGAAATAAGTTAAAGAAAACTACAGTATAACCCTGTAAGTTTACATTACATAAGTTTCTGGGTAAAAGTGTAAATTATGAAATGTGAGCCATCATAACGTTGTTTGGAAAAACTTATGGTGTAGAACAATACATACAAAATGATCCCTCAATGGCTTAAAAATGTCAACATATATAATAAATCAGATATAAAACCAAGCAATTAACAGCTAGACTGAGGGAACAAGTTGGGGCTGCTGGGCTACTAACTTAATACACTTGTGTATTTTGCATTTTCTTAAATAAGAGTTGAATCTCAACCAGTATTATGAAACAGAATATTGTGAAATGAATCCCTTTCAACTAAAATAGTTCTTCCTATCAGGAATGTATGAGAAAGAGACTAAACCCTGAGATGTTGTAACACAATACCAGAAGGTTCCAACTATCTTTGACAGGTATTTGTCCAACGTGATAACATCCCAAGGGAAGCTGTTATACCAGAACAACTTGAGAAAAGCTTGGAAAAGCTTCTCAAAACAGAGGTCTTTCCTGATAATGGAAAAGCAGCAGCACTCTCTACGGGTGTACTTTAAAACTGGTTTTCAAGCAGGGCTTGGGGCTGCGGCAGGTGGACCGCTCAGAGTTAAGGGGCAGCCTGAATTTCAAGGCAGAATCCTCTTTCCAAAAATGTAGTTTTCAAATTTTAGGATATACAAGAATCTTTGGGAGTGCGCTAAAATACTTATTTCCTGAGACCCGTTTCCCAAGTAATTCTGTTTCAAGAAGGTTTGGGTGTGGTCCCAAAACGAGCTTTTTTCAAAAGAGCTCTGAAGTGAGGCAACCGGACTGTGACCCTAAAAATTACTCAATCTTAAAGACACGTCAATGTCTTTCTCCCTGTCTCCCTCTCCTATACCATTCCTCGACAGTTCATCGGTATTCTTCAAATTTTGCTACAATTTTAGGTTTTTTAACTGCGGGCCCCATTCCATTCTCTTTTTAATCTTCCGTGGGGCCCTGTCTCACCACCCTACCCCCACCCCGCCCGCCGCCCTCTTTCCTCCAGGCGCGATCGTCCCATGCCGTCACCCACGCCTCGGGCTCCTCCAGCCCGCTCCCAGCTCCTGTGCCCGAAGAACTGACGGCACCGCAGCCTGCCCCACTCTTCCCATCGCCCGCTCCGACCTCCCGGCACCCCGCAAACAAAACCCTGGAGCCATACCTTACAACCGCTCCACGAGGCGCTCCCCCGCGGAGCCCGTGGGGGAGGGGTAGCAGTCGCAAGTCCTAAGGCTTCAGCGGCATTTTGAAAGGGCGAGTAATGAGTGCGCAACTTCCGGCCTCTTGAACTCGTTCTTTACAAGAGCTTCCGGTTAGGCGTCCGGAAACCATAGATGGCACAACAGGAGGACTAGAGAGCCAGAAAGACCGAACCTTGTACCATAGAGTAGACGCACGTTCGGGAAGAGAGTCGCGATTTGAAAGATTGAGAAGTAAAGAGGTCATTGGAGAACGTTTAGGGAACTCACAGGGTTTTGTGATATTTATAGAAGTGTCGGTCAGGAAGTGTTTTTAGAAATGGAACACCAAGGGAGGAAGCAAAGAGCATTAATCAGCCTTCAGATTTTCGGAAAAATTGTATGCTTCGCCATTCCCTGTGTTCTTTAATGTAATTTATCCGTCCTGAGTTTGGCTGAAGAGGGAAACAGCAATCCTTGTGTTGTCCTAACTGGGGACGATAAGTCTGGTACTTTCACGAATAACTACAAGATACGTGGTAAATGCTAACGAGAAGTGAGAACAGTGAGACAGAGTTTCTTTGGCTCACAACCAGGTCCTGTAATCTCTCTCAGTGTTACAGAAATGCCTTGAGGAGGCATCGCAGGCAGGCTGTCTTCAACCTCTGCCGTTACCAGATGCTGTTATCCCACCTACCCACCCAATACCTCGTTTCGTTTATTTCAAGATGATACTAAGACTCGGGATATTTTGTCTTTGCAATTTCTGTTAGTTTTATCACTTTTCACTTTGGAAAAGAGGAAGTCGGTCTCCGTTATTTCCAAGCCATTATTTCTCTCTTGAAGAGAGCTTCCCAGTTCCAAGCCCTAACTCTCTCTCTTGTTTCTCAGCAGGTTAAACTACCCTGATTTTTTATTTCTTTTTTATGTGGTCGAGTCCCCAGAAAACTTGGTCTTAATGTTCTGGACAAACACCTGTTCATTCTGATCAAAATATAGCTCCCAGAGATAAAAACAGACCTGTGCAAAAAAAAAAAAAAAAAAAAAAAGTAAGGCACCAGGTGAGGTGGTTCATACCTATAATCCCAACACTTGGGAGGCTGAGGCAGGAGGATCATTGCGAGTTCAAGACCAAAAGTTAAATTTCGAGGGTAAAGTTTTTTAATAAGCTTTACCAATCTAAGCTCTTTGGGAGGCTAAAAGACCACACTCCACAGTGAACTATACCACTCAGTATAGTTCATTACTATTTTGTGGCTACATTACATAGGTAATCCAGTTTTTTTTTATCTGATTAGAGTTTTGAACATACCTCTTTGTGCTTCAGGCTCGTGGGATTGATGTGCAACAAGTGTCTTTGGTTATAAACTATGATCTACCTACCAATCGTGAAAACCACATTCACAGGAGTCGATAGCAGCAGTTGATGATGAGATGGTGCTCAGAAGCGGCATTGACGTAATTTAGGACGTGGACTCATAAGTGAAACAGCACACTTTGAATAAAGAGGGAAATTGGCAGAAGGGGTTGATTTGGGAGGAAAGGTGTGGCTATAAACTTTGTTACTGAAGAAGACAAGAGGATTCTTCATGACATTTAGACTTTCTGCAATACTTCAGTGGAGAAAATGTCCATGAATGTGGCCAACCTTATTAAATTCCTGGGATGAGAGTTTCGAATGCAGTGCTCACTGTTGCTGAATAGGCAATCACAATGTGCATTGTGCTGCTTTGGGAATTTATGAATCTTGTCTCAATGCTAGTAACAGTTCAGAAATACAGATTTTGATAGCAAAGCGACATTAGTTGTGAGTTCTTGTGAGGAAAGTCATTGGCGTTATCCTCTTTAGAGTTAGACTGTTGGGTGGATATAAAAAAGATGGGGTCTGTAAAATCTTTCTTTCTTAGAAATTTATTTCCTAGTTCTGTAGAAATGGTTGTATTAGATGTTCTCTATCATTTAATAATATACTTACGGACAAAAAGATATAAGTGCTGTATAAAATCAGCCAATTAGGTTAAACTAGCATATCTGCCTTTATTGTGTTTGTCTTTAGCCTGGATAGAAAGGCCTTTAAAATTGATTTTTTTAAGAAAGCATTTGAATGCAAAAAAAAAGAAAAGACCCGCCTGGGCTACAAAGTGAATTCAAGACCGGCCTAAACTGCATAGCGAAACCCAGTCTCAAAAAAAACAAAAAAAAAAAAATTAAGGCAATGACATGCATTGATTGGCACAATGCACATTATTGTACTTCTAACAACCTCCCACACAATCCCAGGATCCCAAGTTCTGCAGAGGAACTGACGAAAACATTTCCTTTTTCACAATTGCTCACAGTGAGCTTGAAGACAGCAACCATCTGGTAAAGAAATGAAGGAGAAACTTCTTTGCTGAACCGCTGTTAACTATTTCCCCTCTCCTTTTGTGCAACTATAGTTTTTTGTTTTGTTTTGTTTTGTTTTTGGTACCAAGAATTGAACTCAGGACCTCGCGCTTACCAGGCAGACACTGTGCCACTGAGCCACACCCCTGCCCATAAAACTATTTTTTAACTTCGATTTTTTTTTTTTTTTTTGGTACCAGGAACTGAACTCACGACCTTACACTTAAGAGGCAAGCTCTTGAGGCACTGAGCTAAATCACCAGCCCATAAACTATTTTTTTTTTAAAAATGATTTTGAAATGAATTTATTTTGCATCTTTTAATCAGTATCTGGTTAGCTGAAAGGTCCCTGCTCACTGTCTCATAGAGTCTTGGAACTATGATTCTCTCAATTCAGTACAAGATCAAGTATTTGTTTATCACCTGTTATATGCTAAGCAGCAACCTAAACAATTCCCAAATGAATGAAGCTTGGAATCTGGCTAGTGAAGGAAGTCAGAACTGTCCAGATAAAGAAGTGATAAAGGGTAATGATTGACCTACTACTACTACAAAGTCTCACTTAGAGGCTCAAGACACATTATCTCTTTCAGTTTTGCATTTTGCAAAATATTGATCAGCATATTAGTTTGTCTCCACTTGAAGCCCTGACAAATACATTGACTAGGACTTAGGAATACAATTTTTCTCATCATGATTCAGACTGATTTGTGATTAACTGTTCATCTTCCAGTGTTGTCCTTACACCACCAGTGTCACCTAAAGTTACTAACATCTGTCATAGTTACCTTTCTTCGTAATTGTCATAGTTGTCCTTTCTTCAGCCTTTCCCAAGGTTTACATAAGACTTCATCCAAATGGATTGCTATACAAAAAATAATAAGTATTGTATTTCATTTTTCTACCAGTCAAGTAACCTTATGAAAAAGAAATAAAATTCGTTTAAAGACTCATAACTGGGGGCTGGGGATTTAGCTCAGCGGTATAAGCGCCTGCCTTGCAAGCAGGCAATCGTGAGTTCAATCCCCGGTACTGATAAAAAAGAAAAAGACAAAAAAAAAAAGACTCATAACTGGCCAGGCGTGGTAGCTCACGCCTGTAATCCCAGCACTTGGGAGGCTGAGGCGGGAGGATCCTTGCAAGTTGGATCCTTGCAAGTTGGAGACCAGCCTGGGCTACAAAGTGAGCTCAAGGCCAGCCTGAATTGCATAGCGAGACCCCATCTCAAAAAAGTAAAAAAAAAAAAAAAAAAAAAAAAAAAAAAAAACAAAGACTCATAACTGTTTCTTAGTGATCACCACTTCCTTAAGAATCACACTCATAAATGGTTGAGCAAACAGGAAATTACGGTTTTAGTATAGCTATTTCTGTTTCTAGAAACCAGAACATTACAGTTCTTCCAGTCTTCAAGTCCAAGTCTGTAAAATAAAATGAAGTAGACAATTTTCTATGGCCTCTCCTGGTTTTATTTTTTATCTATATTTATTTTTTGAAACAGAGTTTTGCTATGTACTTCAGGCTGGCCTTGAATTCACTATGAAGCCTAGACTGGCTTCTAACTCACAGTGATCCTCCTGCCTCAGCCACCCAAGTGCCATGATCACAGACACATGCCGGTATATCCAGTTCCTTCTGGTTTTAAAAGAATTAGAACTTAATATTATTGGTCTACAACTGTTCTGAAAAAAATACCATAAACTAACTCATGCATACAAAAAGATGTACAGAAGAATGCAATCATTTTCCCATTACTCTTTCTAATAAGAATACTTTACCTACACAAAGAAGTTCCCTGTAATTTCTTCCATGGCACCAGAGAGCCACCGTTTTGGAGGGTGCTTAACTGAGGGTTGAACCCACAACCTTCCCAGTGAACTACATCTCCACTACTTTAATTTTTTTTGAGACAGGGTCTCACTATTTAGTTCAAACTGGTATTGAGTTCACTATGTAGTCCATGCTGGTCTCGAACTCAAGGTGATCCTCCAGCCTCAGCCTCCTCAGTGCTGGAATTATAGGCATGCACCACCATACCCTGCTTCTTTTTATTTTTGAGACAAAACCTTGATAAATTGTCCAGGATGAGCACAAAACTTTGAAATTTTATTGCCTCAGGTTTCCATAGTACTGAGATTGTAGGTGTACACCACCACTGGGTGGAAACTACTACTCTCAATTTGGTATTTACCCTGGCATGTATTTCTTTAGATATTTAGAATTTATATATGTTTTTTTGTTTGTTTTTTTTGTTTGTTTGTTTTATTTTTGTGGCACCAGGGATCGAACTCACGACCTTGCACTTGCCAAGCAGGGACTTATGCCACTGAGCTAAATCCCCAGCCCTAGAATTTATATATGTATATATGCCTTCTGAGTATTGTATGCTAAAAAAAAGTATGCTATCACCTTCTTAGAAATGGCATCAAACTATGAGGTATCTATTCTACTGCAATTTACCTTCTTGCTCATGATTGTTATGTTCAATTGTATAGTTAATTCATTTCCCCTGTTATATAGTAATATTACTGTACATTAATATATTGAATTGTATAAATATAGAATAAATTGTATTAGTTTTCTAGGTTTGCCACAGAAAAATAATACTGGGTGACTTAAACAAGAGAAATGCATTTTCTCACAATAAGGACACAAATTATGTTAGGGCCTGCTTATATGACTGCATTTCACCATAATCTCCTCATTAAAGGCCCTATCTCCAAATATTCTGTGGTACCAGGACTACAATATAAG